CTGTTAAAAAAAATAAAAAAAAAAAAATTTTCTTTATTCTTTGTTTTTTTTTTGCTTCCGACGACGGAAAGAGATAAACTTTCCGATACGTTAAGCATTTTTTTCTTTGTTAGGCAAATTTGTATTATTGTAAACGTAACTTCTGACAAGCAGAGTCCGTTTAGGTTTAACGCGGAAGTGTTTACAAAAAATTACTATTTTATTTTATAGATTTTTCTTGCAGTGCAGTGGCGAAATACCCATAAAGGATTTTTTTGGAGAGATGAATCCGCCACATAGGTATAGACATTTTTTAAATTTCTCCTTATTATATTTTCTTAACACTTACCGGCTATGCCTGAAATGGCTTCAGACGCTGAATATTTGACGTCCACATCCACATCCATATTTAACTTATCTAAAATTGGTTTAACCTAAAACAAAACATACAATATAACAATAATTTTAGCAATAATATAAGTAAAAATCTATTATTTAATTCTCTTAAATTTTGATCGCACCTCTATTATAGCAAGTACATAACAAAATTTCAGAAAAATAAATTTAAAACGAAAATTAGACAAAAAAATCTTCAAACAATGTTTTCAATGAAACAGATGACTGTAATAATTTAAAAGAACCAATAATTTAAATAAAAGCTGTACCTGGGGTTGTATAACTGCTTGATCGAGCTGTGGTGCGATTTTCTGTAAGGTTTTGGCCACGTTAAATCTGACATTGGCCACTTTGTCGTTTGCCATACTGAGAACGGTCGGTAGAAGTAATCTGGTTGTTATGTCGCTGCCGCAGGCCTCGGCCAAAACGTTGATACAGAACAAGCAGGTCATTCTGAAAAAAAAATATAATAGGATAACTCTAAAGTACAAAGTGTTCAGGTATATTTTAGCCAATAGCTATCTCCGTAAATATTGGGTTAAAAAAAATGTTGAAAGTTTAACAATTTTGTTGGAATTGCCACATTCTAATTTTCTAAATATTGGGATGTGCAGTACAATGTCTTACACGTACAATTAATTTTACCGAGAATCGAGAATAATTACCATAATATTAATAATCAAATTTTAACGAGAAAAACTAAATGTACAAATCTGAGGGATCTAAACCTACGGACCAGCTTGAAATTTAATTATCACTATATAGGTATGTATTGTTAACAAGGCTTGGAGCTTATAAGATGCTTGGATTTGTGGACCATTTTATAAACAGTGGATCGTTTTATAAACAGTGGATCATTTTATAAACAGTGGATGCTTTTATAAACAGTGGAACATTTTATAAACAGCGGATCATTCTATTAACAATGGATGATTTGTATAAACTTTGGATGATTTTATAAACCGTGGATGATTTTATAAACAGTGGATGATTTTATAAACAGTGAATCATTTTATAAACAATGGATCATCCTATAAACTGGATTATTTTTTAAACAGTAGATCATTTTATAAACAGTGGATGATTTTATAAAAGTTGATGATTTTATAAACAGTGGATCATTTTATAACAGCGAATCATTTTATAAAGAGTGGATCATTTTATAAACAGTGGATGGTTTTATAAATAGTGGATTATTTTATAAACACTGGATGATTTTATAAACAGTGCATCATTTTACATTTTATAAACAGTGGATGGTTTTATAAACAATGGATTATTTTATAAACAGTGGATCATCTTATAAACAGTGGATGGTTTTATAAACAGTGGATAATTTTATAAAGACTGGATGATTTTATAAACAGTGGATCATTCTATAAACAGTGGATCATTTTATAAACCGTGTACCATTTTATAAACAGTGTACCATTTTATAAACAGTGGATGGTTTTATAGACAGTGGATGATTTTATAAACAGTGAATCATTTTATAAACAATGGATCATCCTATAAACTGGATTATTTTATAAACAGTAGATCATTTTATCAACAGTGGATGATTTTATAAACAGTGAACCATTAAATATATAAAAAAAATCAAATTAAAAAATATCATTCTTACAAAATATTAAAGTCTAACAATTATTAAAATATTTATTGTTACCTGTATAAATAATTTTGATCTCTTGCCATGGCTAACACCTTAGGAATGATGGTGGTTTCGGCCCATTCGGCCCCAAACTGATCCACCAGCTTTCTTATTTTTTAAACACTGGATAAATTTATAACAGTGAATCATTTGATAAACAGTGGATCATTTTATAGACAGTGGATGGTTTTACAAACAGTGGATTATTTTATAAACAGTGGATCATTTTATAAACAGTGGATGGTTTTATAAACATTGGCTTATTTTATAAACACTGGATGATTTTATACAGTGGATCATTCTATAAACAGTGGATCATTTTATAAACAGTGTACCATTTTATAAACAATGTACAATTTTATAAAGAGTGGATGGTTTTATAAACAGTGGTTCATTCTATAAATTGGATATTTTATAAACTGTGCATCATTTATAAACAGTAGATCATTTTATAAACAGTGGATTGTTTACAAACAGTGGATCATTTTATAAACAGTGTACCATTTTATAAACAGTGGACGGTTTTATAAACAGTGGTTCATTCTATAAACAGTGGATCGTTTTATAAACAGTGTACCATTTTATAAACAGTGGATGGTTTTATACACAGTGGTTCATTCTATAAACAGTGGATGATTTTATGAACAGTGAATCATTTTATAAACAGTGGATCATTTTATAAACAGTGGATGATTTTATAAACAGGGGGATCATTTTATAAACAGTGTACCATTTAATAAAACAGTGGATGGTTTTATAAACAGTGGTTCATTCTGTAAAACGGTGGATGATTTTATAAACAGTAGATCATTTTATAAACAGTGGATGATTTTATAAATATAAAAAAAAATTAAAACGTATTTAAAAATAAATATATAAAAAAAATCAAATTAAAAAATATCATTCTTACAAAATATTAAAGTCTAACAATTATTAAAATATTTATTGTTACCTGTATAAATAATTTTGATCTCTTGCCATGGCTAACACCTTAGGAATGATGGTGGTTTCGGCCCATTCGGCCCCAAACTGATCCACCAGCTTTCTTAAGTTGAGGGTGGCGGCCTCGCGGATGGCGAACACGTGGTCCATCAGCCACGTCATGCACAGCGCGTTCAGTTTCTCGTCGAAGAATTCCCTGCCTAAATCACCAGCTATCATTAAAAAATAATAAATACGAATTCTTGGATCACTTACCAAGCTGGCCAGCCAACAAGGGCATGTACTCGATGATAGCGGACCTTACTCTCCATTTAGAGTCTTCAGCCAGTTCGACTATTGCTGGTAGTAGGGACTGAGATAGTTGTTGTATACCAATAACCTAAAAAAAATTAAAAAATTACTGTGTGCACTATGTGCGCATATTTGAAGTGAAACTTCTTACTAACAGCTATTAAATTGCAAGATTTGAAGAACATGTTTGAAAAAGTGTAGTTTAAAATGTTGAAAAAGTAATAAATAGTTTTTTACACGTAAACAACATTTATAAACTGAAAGTGTAAAATACTTACATATATTAAATTAAAAATGAAGAAAATTATGTAGTTAATAAGTGACATTAAAATATTAATAGTAACAAACTAAATTAATAGTAACAAACCTAAATATTTCTCAAAACCGATGTTTTATTTGAATGTCTCATTTTTTACCTAAATATGGAGCGTCTCATTTTTACACCACTAGGGTCAAGTGGTGTAACATAGTCAAATAAACAAAATTATTCTCAAAACATACCTCATTTACACAATCCAAATTTGAAATGATATTCAGTCTAACTTCTGGACATTCATCTTTGAGTTGTGTCAGGAAGAGGGGCAGTAAATGTTCAATAGTATTGTGGCGGCCTAAAATGGGGCTCAGGCCCATTATAACTGATGCCAGAGCTGATTTAACGTGTTGATTTGGATCAGCAACCTAGAAAAACACACTTAGATTAATATAATAAATATTTATAGAAAAATTAATGAACAGCAACCTAGATGTAAACTTGAAATAAAAATGTAAACACTTCCCCTGCATGTAAAATTAGAAAAACTTACCAATTCTTTCACACAAGGTAATATATTTGTCATGATAATGTTCTCTTGGTGGGTTTTGTCCAAACTCTGGCAGAAATCTTTCACTTTGTTAGCCGCTGCAGCTCTAACTTCAGCCTCACTATCTTTGAGAAGAGTCTGGAAGGCAGGAACCAGGTCTGTTCTAGTTATTTCTGGTCCCACTGCCTTTTGGAGTTCTGTAAATTTGTCAGCCACCATGTAGCGTACTCTCCAAGATGTATCACCTAAAAAAATCAAAATTTTAAAGTTTAACCTAACAAAAATAATAAGAATGCAATAATACCTGTGCATTGTCTTAAAGTTGGCATTACAAGTTGCTCTACATCTTCTTGAGGCAACAATGTAGCAATAATGCTGACACAATCTTCGACTGCAAGAAGTCTTACAGAGTCCTAAAATAAACATGTTAAACAAAAAAACACCAAATTGAGAATAAGTCAGCAATAACCTGTTCATCCTGTGCCAAATTTACAAACATTGGTATCAAACAGACTTTAAGTATTCCAATTCAACCACCTGAGCTAATTCTCCTAGTTTTGTAGCCGCTGCACAGCTTATCTAACCATCGGTGTATCATCTTGACATAACAGTTTGAAATGAGCTCGTAAGTCATTCTTAATAGTAGAAGATACTCTGGGATAGCAAGCCTAAAATATTTACTGTATTATAACAGACTCTTTTAAAACAAAATATAATTTATTACTGAAAATAGTCCACACACTGAAGTTCTGGAAGTGAACCAGTCTCCAGCTGCCAATCTCTGTACTAGAGGTACGAAATGTGTCTCTAAATCGGCAGGGCTATGTTGTTGAGCTACAGCTCTAAGAGATTCGACTGCTTTGTCACGAACAACCTAAAAAATTTAAACAGATAGGTAACAAAATGTTTTTTTTTCTTAATAAAAAAAATGTCTTACTGTTTCTTCTACAGTAGCTAAGCTCTCTAGGGGTGGCAAAAGACAATAAGCATATTCGGGGCCCCCTACTAACGTTATAAATTGGCCTAATTGTTCGGCTAGAGCCAAGAGAACTTCATCTTCATCGTAAATAGTTTCAGTTAGAAATGGTATCAATTCAGTTCGAAGTTCTTTTCAACTCCAAGGGCAAGTGCTATAGTTGATAATTTCTTAATTGAGTTCAAACGTAGCTAAAAAATATAAACAAATTATTAATTAGTAATAACGTATTTATTATGATCACTAATTTGAGAATGTGTAAAAATGAAGATAAAATAAATACTCATGAATAATCCGATAACGGACACTTAATTTCAATAAATAATAACTTATTAGTCATTTTTCCCAAAAAAATATACAGGTGTAAACTTCAGATAAAAATATGGAGCATTGAATTGATTTTTTTTTTTTGGATAAAAATGAACTCTTGATCATTTTAACAGGGGTAATTAAAGACTTCGTAAAAACTTACCTGAACATCTTCGTTTTTGAGTTCATCAATTAGGACGGCGATGGGATACAAAAAGAATCGTCGCCCGCAGAATCGCTGGCTGCCATTGTAGAGGCCGAGTCCAGTGGAGATCGATATCGTCGTTTTTATTCGATTTTAAGAACGCGTTCCTTATATAACGAAGTGGCAGATCGCTTTAGCAACTCCGTTATTAGCCAAAATTGGATAAAACGTGTGGAGATTTACTTACAAATTTTAAAGGTCGATGAAACTTCAACGAGCGGTCTTGTCTTATTTTGCAGTCTTTTTGGCATGGATGAGAGGGCGCTGCTAATGCTAGTTAAAAAAGTGACATTTGAAAAGAGCGGGGTATTTGAATATGGGATATATTTATTATATATTTTTTAATTTTATTTAGTATTTTTTAACCACTTTTAACCATGATCAAAGTAATTTAGTTCAGACTAGATTTATTTGAATTATTTATAAACAAAGCATTCTTCAAAGTGTATTTTATTTACTAAGGAATGTGATAAAACAGAGAAGAACGAGGGGCACAAAAATATATTTTTATAGATTCCTGTAAAATGCATTTATTTAAAACCTATAATGGCTATAATCGAAAATATGTAATGCACAGAATATACGGTATTACCGAATATGCTAACGTGTAATGGTAATGATTGCGTTTTTTCGTTTATTTGCAATACTTTCTAATTTATACTATTTTGTAATTATAAAAAAATTAAAAAATGATGACATTGACTTTTGTAGGTTAGATTGTTTTGGGTGTGATTTGTTTACCTTTTTCAAGGACAATAAAGGGATAAATTTTTTAAATAAAAAAGGGTCCAATAAAACTTTTTCTCGTGGTACACAAAAACTCTTGTAAAGCTACTTAGGTACTAATATTAAGGAGCTGTTGGCCTGTTTCTTTGTTAAATCGAGTTACTTTAGAGTTATTAGGTAAATTCAGTTTTAAAAGCATACTAATCACTTTTAGCTTTATGATTGCTTTTTAACATTTATTCAACATTTATACATCTTTCAGCGATGAGTGAAGCAACAGATGTAAAATACCAACTTCAAGAATATCAACCAAATTTATCAGTGTCAACCAGAGAAAACATCCAAAATATCATAACAGGAATAGAACAAAACGATAAACCACTCTATGGACAGGCTCTCATTAACTTTGTAGTTAAGGAAAATGAGCAGTTTAATATTGAAGAACTAAAGGGTTTGATTTCAATTGAGTATATGTACATATGGGTATTATTGATAATGATTTTTGTAGAACATGGCTTAAGAGCGAAATTGTGGAATAGCTTAACAAAACTTGCAACAGGTGCTAACGACAATGACCTCCTTGCCATTGTATTTACTGTGTTTCGCATTATTAGCAGAGACAAAGGATCTGTTAATGATTTGGTGAACGATGAATGGATTAGTTTAATATTAAAAAATATTGGATTAAACGACAACGAATTTAATTATGATGAGGACACTCTGTGTAGGATCGAGGAGGGTCAGAAGGTTCTTTGGAATACCGTGTTTAGTAGCAAACCATTAGTTGAAGCTTCTCTAAGTAATGGTTTGCTGGATAAACTAGTCAATCGTATAAGGTATCAATTTTTTTATTTTTGAAGTAGGGTGAATATGCCAGTAGTCGGACATACACCAGTGGTTGGACAAAACATATATAGTCTAGAAAACATATATTGCTACTCAACAATTTAAACTCAGCTTCTTTTAAACTGTCTGACCACTGGCATATTCACCCTATTTAATTCCTTTTTTACCAATTTTTTTTATTCAAGATTGTATGATTCCGCACATATCTCAGATGTTATAAAATTTTATGATGTTAAACTACTATTTTTATTGTCTGCCTTATCAGTACCAGTGAGAGAAAAACTCGAGAAAGAGTTGGATGGTTTAAATGTTCTTATAAACGTTTTAAGAGTAGTACTTAAAGAAGCAGCTGAAAGTATAGCCCAATCACCCGAACTGCCGGCAATACTCGACGACAAAAAAGCCGAAGTTGTCTGCGAAACCTTAAAATGCATGTTTAATATAACATTAAAATGTGGCACAGATTCCAAAAGTATTCAACAATATAATATCCTTATTGGCCTTTTGAGAAACTATCTTTTGGCTTCCACAATAACACTCGAGAGAACATGGGACTTGAGAAATGATATCATCAATTTGTTGACTAACATACCGGCGGTGTGTTACAGTGAGTTGATGATGCCAGTGGACAAATCAAAGCCGCTATTGAAAAGCTTGAAGTTTGAGAATTACAACATGATTGTTTTTTATGAAATGTTAATGTTTTTGGAAGCTAAGTTCAATGATAAGGTCGCTTTAAGTGTTACTCAACAATTGGAGGTTTATTCGCCGATTTTAACAGTGCTGCTTAAGGGAACTACAGCTCACCGGTGAGTATACAGGGTGGTCTGAGTTGTATTCAGGAAACTCAGGCATTAAAAAAATTTAAGACATAATTTTATACGAACTCTTTTACTTATTTTTATCTGCAGAATATACTGCCAAAGTTTTCTGATTACAATTCAGACCACCCTGTATTAAATCTTAATAAACTCTCCTGCACAAAATTCCGCCACCCTAATATTTTGACTTAGTTTGATGTTTCATAACTTTTTAATTTGTAATCTGATTTTTATGAATATGGTATTAGTTTATAGATAAATTTGCTGACGTTATTTTTTATTATTTTAATGGCTTATATAGGGCGAGTCTTAAACAAGTGTCATTTGAAAAAAAAAAATATGGGCAAGCTGATTTTTTCAGAGTTTGTCAGCGACCGTTTTCTGAGTGTAAGATAAACAAAATCGGAAATTTTCCCCTTGCGGTTTTTGAGCAATAGGGGTGGTTTTTTTAACAGGTCACACTCTGTGATATTGGAAGTAGACTTAAACACATATAAACAGATATCTAAAAGAGAAGTGCTACACATTGGGTGGAGAAAATGCAGATTTTTTGATCATGTTAACGTTATTCAGTGCTACAAATGCTGGAAATTTGGCCATATGTCGGGATTTTGTAAAAACAATGAAATAATTTGCCCCAAATGTAGCGAACATCACAAAATAGAGGTATGTAAAAGTAAAAATGAAATATGTGTAAATTGTAAATATGCAAAAGAAGTTTTAAAAATTCCCCACATTGATATTAAACATACTGCATTTAACAGAAATTGTAAAGCTTACAAAAGAGTTTTTCAACAACTACAGATGAGAGTGATCTATTGAGACCCTGATATATTAGGCAATCATAAATAGCAATTAAAAAATCACAATTTAATGTATTTAAATATTGAAAGTTTGACTGCACACAAAACAGAATTACAGTGGGTGGTAAATCAGTGGAAGCCTATAATGATTTGCTTGACGGAAACTCGTATAACTGGGGAAATACTTGAAAATGAAGTCAAAATTGATGGGTACAATGTAACACATGCACTATCATCGAGCCGACACACAGGAGGTGCTTTAATCTACATTAGGGAGGAGATGCGCTTTAAAACCGTGATAAATAAGGTGGTTGAGAAAAATTTGTGGCTGGTGGGAGTCAGTTTGAGTGTTGGGTGGCATAGATTTACTATCATAAATGTTTACCACTCCCCAAACTCAAGTCATAGTGCTTTTTTGGATAAATTGGAGGAAGTTCTAAATAATTATGCCATAAAATCGGAATCATTTATTTTAATTGGAGATCTAAACATAAATCTAGCAAAGGAAACATACTATTCAAAAAAACTGAACAATATAATAGAAAGAAGTGGATTGTCCCAAATTGTACAAAATTTTACAAGAATTACTCCAACTAGTGCTACAATTGATCTTATAATAACAAATGATAAAGAAGTTAACCATCAGATACATCATACACCAAAAATAGCGGATCATTCAATACTTACTGTGAACCTTCCTTCTACAGAACTTGGACAAAATAAAGAAATTTATAGAGATATGAGGAACTTTAATGAGCTAGAATTCCAGTTAGATCTTATGGATATGGCGTGGCCGGATGGTAATGGAAATATTGACATAATGGCGAATTGTTTGGTGAAGGGCATAATGGAGAATTTAAATAAACATGCTCCACTCAAGGAAAGAATAACTACCAATAAATGGGGTAATAAAAATGGTGGACTTCAGAAATAAGAATGGAAATCACGGAACGTGATAGATTTTACAAAAGAGCAATAATAACGGGAGATGTAGAAGATTGGACTAAGTTTAAACAAAAAAGAAATGCCGTTGTTCAAATAATAAAAGATAGGAAGCAGGCATACTATCATGAAAATATTGATGAATGTAAGGGGGATTCTAAGGAAATGTGGAGAAGTTTAAAAAGTATTATTTCAAATAAAAATAAAAGTAAAAACAATAAAGGTATTAATTTTGATGGGAAATTGGAATCTGCCAATAAAATAATTGCACAAAAATTTAATAACTACTTTATAGAGAGTATAGATTTTCTCGTGAAAAACGTGGGAGGAGGAATAGAAGACATTGAAGATATATTAAAAAATATAGAGTCCAAAAAAACATTTTGAAAGTTTCCAAATACAAACATTTACAGAGCTGAAGAGTGTTGTCGGAGGTATGAAAGACACAAAAAGTAGTACTGAAGGAATCAATACAAAGATCCTCAAGAGCTCATTTGAAGTAATTGATCATCGCTTTTTAGAAGTCATTAATACCAGTTTAGAAAAAGGTTGCTTCCCCAAAGAGTGGAAAACATCAATGATAATACCAATAGAAAAAGTTAATAATACCAACAAGTGTGATGAGTTTCGTCCAATCAATATGGTGTCTACATGTGAAAAACTTTTAGAAACAGTGGTGAGTGATCAAATGAGAAAATTTGTGGAAGACAATAAAATCCTTACTCCAGTTCAAGCTGGGTTTAGAAAGAAACATTCCTGTGAAAGTGCTCTACAATCAGTAATTTCCAGCTGGAAAAATGTGATTGGGAAAAAGAAATTTGTCGGTATAATGTTCATTGACTTTCGCCGCGCATTTGAAACTATAAATCGAGATCTTCTGATAAAGAAACTAATAAAATACAATTTTGGACAGAATGTGCTAAAATGGTTCTCAGAGTATTTACTAAGGAGATCAGAAGTAACCAAATATAATAATGTAGTATCTTCAGTGTTGGTGAATGACAATGGAGTTCCGCAAGGAACTGTGCTGGGCCCTGATTTGTTTGTACTGTATATAAACGATATAGTAAAAGTGGTTAAAAAGTGTAAAATTCAATTATTTGCCGATGACACTATTCTGTACTTTGAAAGTGAAAATATTGATGAAAAAAAAAAGTCAATCTAATATGTAGAATAGGAAATGAATTAAGTAGCTGGACTAAGCTGCTCATTTATAAAACTATAATTTTACCACATCTAGACTACTGTTCTACCATAATGTTTATGTTTAGTAAGGAAAATATTGATATACTTCAAAAAAAGCAAAACTGTGTCTTAAGAGGTATCTTAGGGTGTAATAGATATAAAAGGATAAAAGACATGTTAAATGAAACAAACTTACTAAGTGTTAGACAAATTATATTTTTTAATACAATGATTGTTATATTTAAAATAAAAAATGGGTTGTACCCAGATCATATTATAGATACGTTACAATTTGTACAGGATGTACATTGCCACCTAGGCTAGCTGTACTTGTTGGCTTTATCTACCTATCTCACAATTTTCACTTAATATCTGTTTAATTATATATGTTCGCGAACGTTTCGTTCGCTTAGCTTGGACGCGGCTTAAGATTACCGGAAAGTGTTTTTTTATCCAAAATGCCCAGGGTGTTTTGAATTACCCGTTTTGGTTTACCCCTGTATAAACCCACCTAACCGAAGAATATAAGCCATTAAAATAATAAAAAATAATGCCAATAAATTTCTCTTCACACTGTTACCATAATCATAAAAATCGGATTACAAAATAAAAAGTTATGAAACATCAAACTTAGTCAAATTTTTAGGGTGGCGGAATTTTCTGCCGGGAGTATATTTTGAAAAATATTTCTAATGAAAACTTTATATAGACCTATCAGAAAATACCTCAGACTTCATATTCTTCCGCCATTGAAAGATGTGGATAATAGACCTGAGAACACAGATACTTTAAGGGGTAAATTGTGTAAATTGCTGACAACACCTATTACACAAATCAGGGATCTAGTAGCCGAACTACTGTTTGTTCTTTGCAAGTGCAACGTTGACAGAATGATTAAATACACTGGATATGGCAACGCTGCTGGTCTGTTTGCCCAAAGAGGTCTTTTAGGTGAGTGAGTCAGTTATTTCGTTTAGAAAATTAAAAAACTGAAATTTACGTAAAGCTTTATTCCATATAAAGTCAAATCATGCATAAACTTAGGCTATAATATTACTTAATCATATACAGGGTGGTCCGAACTGTATTCTGGAAACTTCGGTAGCATATTCTGCAGATAAAAATAAGTAAAAAAGCTCGTATAAATGTATGTCCTAAAATGCTTAGTTTCGGAGATACAGGGTGTAGAAGTTTCATTTTAATTTCGATTTTTTTCAAATAGTTTCTGAAGTAACGTCAATATTTGGATCAAAATTGGTGTCTGGGAGTTTTTGACATGAGAAATTTGATTTTGCTGTCAATACGACTCCTACTTGTAGTGGGCGCCACATATATAGTGTTTAACTGGTTTGAGGAGTAATAACGTTTCGTCCATACCTGTATAAAACTACTGAGTAAAAAAAATACATTTACGACGTTTTTTACGTAAAAAAGGTGTCTCGATAAAAATTGTTACAATTAATGGTTCTCGAGATATTTGAAATCGAAGATATCAATACCTGTCATCATTGACATAAATTAAACATGTTGGCTAAATAGTTATTAGACTGAAATCATAAACTTGAAATGTTTTTGTGCCAAAAGTTCAACAGAAACTGTTTTATCATCATTTTTTCGCAGAAAAATATATGTTTAATTTAAAAAAATAAAAATTTCCCAAATTTATTATTTCAGTGAAATAACTATCTACTTAACGTATTTTTTGTCTATAATGACATGTACTGACTATTTCCATTCTAAATATCTTAAGAACGGTTCCTCGTAGCGTTTTTTACCAAGAGACATTTTTTACATAAAAAGTTACGGAAATGTATATTTTTTCACTCAATAGTTTTGTACAGGTACAGACGAAAAGTTATTACTATTCAAAACAGTTAAAACACATGTAGGTGGCGCCTCCTACAAATAAAAGTCATATTGACATCAAAATAAAATTTATCATGTCAACAAACTCCCAGACACCAATTTTCAACCAAATGTGGACGTTACTTCAGAAATTATTTGGAAAAAATCGACCTAACCGAAGTTTTCGGAATACAGTTCGGACCACCCTGTATAAAATTAGCATATAGGTTTTTAATGTAATATTGATTATATTATGAAACTACTTCTTTTTAATAATGACTGCAGGAGGTAAAAAAGACGAGGATGAAGAAAACTTTAGCTCAGACAATGAAGACAGTGAGACAGAAGAATACGCAGGTCAGAAGCATCTTATCAATCCAGTGTTGGGATGCTTGGATCAACCACACCCTGATCCAATGGAAGGTATTGTAGTTTATTACTGATTTACTCAGTTAATTGATTTACTCTCATCTTTTCAATGTAAAGACTATTCAGCGATCTTTCAACGTTATGTCCCCATTATTTGTCAAATATCAAAAATATGTCTCCAACATCACGACATGCCATTTTCAAACCTTCTTTATTGAACTTATGAAACGTTCAGTGGTTTTGTCTTTTCCGAGGACATTACTTTGCGCATGCGTACTAAAACTTGCACGTATTTCCAAAATAATCACAATTTTATCCGGTTTAGAAAGTACAAATTATACATTGTTATGGAAACTAACTTTTCATTGTCATCATATTGTCATAATCTTGTCAAAATCATATGTCATAATGTTATTTCCATTGTGTAACGACGCTTGTTTTTTGCGTTTTTTAGTTTAAACATTGTACTAATTACTCTTTTATCGACCGCTTTTATATAGCCAAGGATGCAAGTGTGTTCAGTGAGAAGTTAATTTTAAGTTTGTGCAATTATATTTCTAGTTTTTATTCGTTGGGTTTTAATTTTGGGGTAAATATTCGTAAAAATGACAAGAAAGTGTTTGGTGTGTGGAAATTATAATATAAATGTCCCCGAATTATCTTTTCACAGGCAAGTAAAGTATTCAGTTGTTCTTTTTTGTATATTAAACCACGCACATGCATACTTTCTGGTTAGATTTCCTAAGAATATTGATATTCGTACGGAGTGGCTAATTTATTTTTTATATAATTTAATTTATGTGACAGTAACATTCAATTATTGTTCAAATATATGCATTTTACAAATTAAATTTTTAAAATTAATGTTCAAATTTGGCGCGTGGGGGATAGGACAAGGATAGATAGAGTAGAAGCACCGCGTGTGCAACAAAAAAACAAAAAAAGAAGATAAATTGAAGTCGTTGATATGTTTGGAACAGTTTCCATAGTGATTTATTTATCCACGCTTTGAATAAGAAGACTAAGGAAGGAGCATAATGCTATCCACGTATTCATGCATGGTGGGCGGAAAAAGCACTCTAGGGTGGGGATCCTTGACAGTTCTGTTTGACGATTCATTTGACACATTTGAATTTGATTTGAAATTTTGTGGATTTGTCAGTCTTTACGGAGCTTATTTTATGTTATTTATTATTTATTCTACTACTGATAGTTGTATAAATGTAGTAAATCTAGATAGAAATTGTGGTAGAACTTAAATTAACAGTGACACTATCGCGATTTATCGAAAAAGACTCTAAAATAGTTGGTTGTGTAGCGTGCGGTAGATCTCGGCAAAAATCGAGTGAAATAATGGGACAACTTTTCGCTACTAAGTGCTTCAAATATAATATACATACGTGTAGTAAACCGATCATTTATGAACTTCACTTAAATTAACTAACTATATATTTTTTCTTGCATTTTTGCTTTTATTTACTACTTGTCTAAGATTAGATGTCAAAAAATTTAGATACGTCAATTTGACTTACCTGCTTCAGTAGCGTATCGGATGTTTATGGTTATAAATATTATTATAACTTATCTATTTTTAATAGAATTTTATATTTTTATAACAATTTTAATAACTACCAACATTTATTCACAACGTAAAATAATAAAAAAAATTATTGAGTCTACCCCACGTTTACCGTACATCATAGTTTTACATTTTTTAAATAAAATTAGAACGGCACTGATAAACCGGAATTTAAGTCGGCCATATTTGAGGCCCATCGCGGTGCACCTAAGATTTTTGATATGCTCCTTCCTTAGTCTTCTTATTCAAAGTATCCACGTAAGTATATATAATCTAGGATCAAATATGTGTTTTAGGGTGTGTCTGAGATCAGTCCATATTGTTTAGAAAATTTTAAGTATAGAATGTTCAGCCATCATTTAACGTCACGTCATATATTGTCGAACTCTCTCAATAGTTTGCCAACCAGATGAAAGAGATTGGTGACGTCATTACGGTATTTCGTAAATTACTGCGTATTATTTTTAGTAATTGTCATTGTCATTTGATTTGGGGTTATAATTTTATTGGCGGACATCGATCAATGTCAAAATTAAAATTTTATTGTTGTTGTAAAACAAAATTCAAATTTTTTTGTTGCAAAAATGCCTCAAAGATTTAACCAAAATAAACAAGAGCTCATTGCTAAGCTTATAAATTGTTTTTCTCGAGAAAGAGACGCTGGCTGGTAGAACACTCTTGGCCCGTGGGCGCCCTATATGAAGTAAGTTCAGTGCAAAGGTGTAATATTCCTATGTAAAATACAAATTGGTAGCGTTTTGATATAATACAGCCATATAGCGAGTTGTTGATGCTTTAGAAATAAGAATTTCAACAGTCCAAAGGATTGGAACTAAAACGATCCTAACTGGTTAAGAGTTCAAGAAAAAATTAATAAATTCTGAAAAAAAAACGGAACTCGCTCAATCAGTCATATAGGAACGTGCTTAAAATGTTCTAAACAATATGAAACTTAACTAAAACTTATATTTGACAAATAATGATAACGTAACGTTGAACGATGGCTTAACAGTCTTTAGTTTATTACTGATTTAGAAATTTATGCTAACTATTTTTTTAATTGATGCAGGAATGTCAGAAGAACAAAAGGAGTATGAGGCTATGAAACTGGTGCAACTTATGAATAATTTGTTGGAATCAAGAACAATCTTACCTTGCAGGGTTGGGCCTGATGGAAAACCCCAACCCATTGAGCACGTTCTGCAGTTACAGGAAGGATTGAAAAGTCTACAGCTCCAAAGTGATTCCGACACAGAATAGAGTTGATAAATTTTTAAAATGTCAACTTAATATAACTGTAATTTTTATTGCATATTTCATCCATTTTTAACAACGCTTAGCTTTTTAGCTTGTTTGATGGTGTTCTTTTAGTCTAACCATACAGGGTGGTCCGAACTGTATTCCGGAAACTTCATCAGCATATTCTGCAGTTAAAAATAAGTAAAACAGTTCGTATAAATGCATGTCCTAAAATTCCTAGTTTCGGAGATACAGGGTGTAGAAGTTTCATTTTTATTTCGATTTTTTCCAAATAATTTCTGAAGCAACGTCATTATTTGGATGAAAATTGGTGTCTGGGAGTTTTTTGACATGAGAAATTTGATTTTGATGTCAATATGACTCGTATTTGTAGGGGGCGCCACCGACATGTGTTCTAACAGTTTTGAAGAGTAATAACTTTTCGTCCGTACCTGTATAAAACTACTGAGTGAAAAAATATACATTTCCGTGATTGATTTTTTACGTAAAAAATGTCTCTTGGTAAAAATCGCTACGAGTAACCGTTCCCAAGATATTTAGGATGGAAATAGTCAATGCATGTCATTATTGACAAAAAATAAACATGTTGAGTAGATTCGGGAACTTTTATTTTTTTAAATTAATCATAAATTTTTCTTCGAGAAAATGATGATAAAACAGTTTCTGTTGAACCTTTGGCACAAAAACATTTTAAATTTATGATTTCGGTCTAATAACTATTTAATTAATATGTTTAATTTATGTTAATGATGACAGTTATTGATAATTTCGATTCCAAATATCTCGAGAACCATTACTCGTAGCGATTTTTCCCAAGAGACCTTTTTTTACCTAAAAAACGTCGTAAATGTATATTTTTTACTCAGTAGTTTATACAAGTACGGAATAAAAGTTATTACTCCTCAAACCAGTAAAAAAATATGTAGGTGGCGCCCTGTACAAGTAGGAGTCATATTGACATCAAAATCAAATTTCTCATGTCAAAAAACGCTCAGACACCAATTTCCAACCAAATATTGACGTTACTTCAGAAATTATTTGGAAAAAATCGATATAAAAATGAAACTTCTACACCCTGTAATCTTCGAAATTAAGCATTTCAGGACATACATTTATACAAACTTTTTTACTTATATTTATCTGTAGAATATGCAGCCGAAGTTTCCGGAATACAGTTCGGGCCACCATGTATATTATTGTACATAAGAGTATTCAAAGAAATATTTTATCTCCATTATTTATTTTTGTATAGGTAGTGTTTTTTATTTGTATAGTAATTGTTTCTTAAATTTTAATTTTACCGTAAATTCTGTATGATCGAAAAAACGGCGTCCAATTGGCTTTGAAATGACAATCGATATTTAAATGGCCGTGCGATCTTTATCTCATAGCCATAGCTGACGCCGTTTTTTTTCGATCATATTGTATAATATATTGAGTAGAAAATATTGTTTTTCACTGATATAATGTAGTTGTCATAAAATCAATTCTGTGAAATAAATACACAATTCAATTTTAAAAATATATTTTTTATGAAACTATCAGTGTAATTTTTAACCATATATAAAGTAATATGTTTATCAATAAATGTTATAAATATCTTTACACATGTTGTTTATTTTCTAACATAGATCAAATTTAATATAATATACATACATTTTTTATTACATTAATTTAATAAATATAAATAAAAAAATATTTCTAAAAGTACAAAAATTACAATTTATAATTTGACTAGAATTGTTTTAAAATGTCTTTTGTATTTTTATAGCTTTAGTTTTCCTCTTTTTTATTAATTTTATTTTGATATGGATCATTATTACATTTTTCGTTTTCAAAAAATTCTTGAATATAGAAAATTTAATTTTAAAAATCTGTTCAAGGTTTTAGAGTAAAAAACACACTAAACAATTGTTATATACGATCAAATATGAATAAATAAAAAAAACAGAGTCAGAGTGGCCTTTGAAATAAATATCTATTATCAATTCAAACGCGACTGTGACGGTAGTTTTTTTATCATCAGTATGCTTTGTAAAATTCAAAATTACGTATTTTATGAAAAGATTCAATATTATTTTATTTTTAAGTATATTAAACTTAAGTATGAAAGTTTCTAATAAGCGTTTCTGTTATAAGGACAGTATACCTTATTTTATTGTCTACAACTGTTTTGTTTCTATAGTTTACAATATTATTTTACACTTATTAAAGCTTTATAGGTTTTGATCTAGTGTTACATTTATTTGGCACTAATTATGTATTTCTTTAAGTACAATACGATCGAAAAAGAAACGGCGTCAGCTATGGCTATGAAATGAAAATCGCTGTCATTTTATATGTAAGATTATATGTGGGGAATGTCATGATATTCGTTTCCAAGCTGACTGGACGCTGTTTTTTTTTTCGATCTTACTGTATATGGCAGACCGACAGGAATGTTTAGAAAATAAGGATCTTTGGCTATAGTTCTTCTCTTTAAAATTCAAAAAATCCATTAAAAACTAACGGTAAAACAATCTCAAAATGAACAAATAATTAAAATATAAATGCTATCGTCTTAAACTTATTCGTTACATATATAAAATAGAATTTTTGGTAAATTTCACATGAATTCTAAATATTTTTATGGATAATGATAATAAATTTACACGTATATCTCGTTTCCAAAATTTAATTTGTGTCCTGCAACGCCACCTACGATTTGCAAAGGAGCTCTAATATAGACACTTTTGTTCAAATTGCATGGCATTTTCTTTGTAGAATTTGTCAAAGCATCCTCTTCCTTGGGATTTTCTTTGACTTCTTTCAGGCTACTTGAATACCTGAAAAATAAAAGAACTTTTGAAGTTAGAGGGCTATGTGTATGTTTGGTTGCATAATGGTGTAAGTTAAAATATTAATTCGTGGATGTCAATGACCACGCATCTTGTTTATACATAAAGGCATCTTAAAAACGAGATAAAAATCTACCAATGTTTGATTTTAAGATACTTATGACAGCAACTTCAATGACAGAAAATTATTTTAAACATACTGTAGTTACCCTCTTTGGTTTCTTGTGTTTTTGAGGCTGCTTTCTGATGTTTGCTGACTACTGGGTGTTGTAGAACTAGTGGTGCTTTTCCTTAAAAAAATATAATAAATTAATTATCATATTATTGAAGAAGTAAAAAGTTGTACCTTATTATTTCAGTCTTTCTTAATCTTCTCCTTAATTGTTTGTAGCCACAGAGCTTCAAAAACCCACCTCGAAATTTTGAGCTCATTATGTTGTATAAAATAGGGTTGACGGCAGAATTGATGTGGAACATTATTCTTGAAAAGTAGAGTATGTTGTAGTATGTTTCCAAACCTGTAAAAAGTTAATCTGAGTCACATTTTAATATTCAAAAAATTGCATACTGATAATATTTATGAATATTATTTTATTATTTTTTCAATATATTCTTTAATTCATATTTCGCTAATATGTAGTTTTTGTTAATTTGTTATTTTCGAAAGATTAGAAGTAAAAGTGCGTTTAGACGAGTCAAGACAACTGATCAAGTCATTATTTGAACTCAATAAGTCATTCGTGAAAACACGCCTTAAATGAGAATGACAAAACTAAAAAGGGGAAACTAAAGAAATAGACAAGAAGAAAAGAAAATTTAAAAGTATTTAAATGAAAGTAAAGACAAAATTTTTATGAGTAAAAGAAAAATATCAAAAATAAAATATATACCGGGTGCGTCTCAAAAGTCGTGGCTCACCCCTATAACTTTTTCATTTTTTCAGATAAAACAACGAGATTTGGTATGTTAGTATATGACATAAATTGGGATTTACTGACGTATTCAATTGTTTTCGGTCACTTCCGGTTTCACCGGAAATGACTACAACTTTTGATTTTTAAATGACACCCTCGGAATTTTTTTACTTTATTCGATAGAAAATGACACTCTGAATGGATTGACATATCATTTGTCAACTTTTGTCATAGTTACTCAAAAACAAATTGTATTTTAAATTTCAATCTAGAGTGCCATGGCTGTGTTAAAAACACTAAGTTTTAATCAAGGAGCCTTGGAAAAATAGATTTGATCGTCTAATGTTTTTAGTGGCCGGTTAAAAAATGCCCAAATCGTATTTTTAATCATATCTCAATTTTTTCAAATGGAACCAGGGTGGCTCATTAGCCTATTTGGAAAAATCATTTTTTACGAATAATTTGATAACACACGCTTGTTATTTTGAGACAAATTGTCGTTATGAACCGCATATGTTAGAATTTCAAATAAACCATATGCGAAAATGTCAAAAGTTGACATATGACATGTCATTCGATCCAGAGTGTCATTTTCTATCGAATAAAGTAAAAAAATACCGAGGGTGCCATTTAAAAATCAAAAGTTGTAGTCATTTCCGGTGAAACCGGAAGTGACCGATAACAATTGAATACGTCAATCAATCCCAATTTATGTGATATACTAACATACCAAATATCGTTGTTTTATCTGAAAAAATAAAAGTTATAGGGGTGAGCCACTTTTGAGACGCACCCGATATTTTTATACACAAAATAAAAATGAGCTAATCAATAATATTTAATTTTAGAAATCATATTCCTGTTAAACACATTTTTCAAAATAACACATTTTTTTTAATATTTTTCAAGCAGATATAATTTATTTTGAAATTTTTCCTCAGAAATGTTCGTTTAGTTTAATCTTTTCAAATGGATGATACTACTTACCTATGTTAAAATTAGAATCAGCAGGACTGATGATGATCCAAAGTGTTAAAGCTCTAAATGGCAACAGGCATATAAAGAATGCCAACACTACAGTACCCAGCATCATCATTACTTGTTTCCTGTATTTGATGACGCTCTGACTAGGTACTGTAACGCTTTTGTTCTGTAAACCATCCTAAAAAAGAGAAAATATACTAAAATAGGGTTTACTCAATTCAGTAAAACCCACAAACACAAAACACCAAACTAAAAAAGTAATAGGTAGATCAAATAATATGAAGGGGACAGGGGGAAAAGATCAGAGTCCATTTTTGACAAAATCTGTGTAAAAGCGCCATGTTATACTTTTTGGCCCAAATTTTCTCATGACACAATTACTACAATCAATTTAAAAGTTGGTCAAAGAAAGCCTAGAGAAGCTGAACAAATTAGGCAAATAAAATAAAGTTCTCCTAGCCTGGGGGCCATCTCACCAAGGGCTAGGAAGTCATGAAAAAACAAACGATCTAGCTAGAAAAGGGAGAGAGAGAGAGAGAGAGAGGTATTGATTTATAGAGCGCGTCAACAGCGAGGGTTTTTTAGCGCTCAATAATAAGCTTTATTTAATATGAGGTTATTTTAAATTATTTTAAGTTAGAAATTAAAGAAATTAAAGAAATTAGTTATTATATATATTAAAATGAAACTCAAGAACCTGAAAGACACCATCCGGTCTAAGTAAATTAAATTACTAAAATTCCCCAACGGTCTAAGACACTCGAAGAAATTTCTCAGGATTTACGACCGAGAAAAATCAAAGATTTTCCTTGATTTAAGTAAGAACAAACTTCGGATTGTCACCGGGTTTTTAACAGGACACAGTTTCCTCAATGAACGGCTCAGTAGATTGAAGCTAAGAAACAACGGCAAATGCAGATTCATTGGGGAAAATGAGGAAACACCCGAACACCTCATCACTGAGTGCGCCGAGACGACAATCATTCATGCCATAAACTTTGATACGACTGAAATTGGAGATGGAGAACTAACCTCTGAAGAACCGTCTTAGATATTGGCTTTTATCAAAGCCCTGAGAATGTGTAATGAGTTATAACTCAAGAAAGATCGCAGTGATTATCTTCCCCCCTCCCATAGAATCTACATCTACATCTACTACAATTAAATTATATTAAAAAGCTTTAAGAATTTCATTAAAGATTAAAGAGTATTTTTTTTTATTATCTTAATAAAAGGGTTTAGCTGTATACTCCATTTTACTCAGTTATTGATTTTTTACTTCGTGAGTGATATAATAAACTTACTAAATTATTAGGATGTGTCATCAAGGTTCTAGCTATCAGAGCGTAGACGCATATGAGTATGGCCAATGGAAAAATGAAGAACACGATGACAGATCCGATGAAGAAGATGCAAGGCAGCAGATCTTCGACCATGCTGAAGCAGACGAAGACCACAGATCCGTCAAAGTACTTCTCAGATCCGTATTGGGTGATTGCCAAAATTGGACTAAAAATTAAACAGTTTTTTTTATGTAAAAATATTAATTTATAGTAAGTACACCTACATTAATAATTATTATAAAATAAGAAAGTTTATAATACTATACCTTTAATAGATATTCTTTTTGTGTTTTACTTAATCTATATTTATTTTAATTATATATACCGGGTGCGTCTCAAAAGTGGCTCACCTCTACAACTTTTTTATTTTTTCAGATAAAACAAAGATATTTGGTATGTTAGGTTATTGACGAATTGAATTGTTATCGGTCACTTCCGGTTAACTCTGAATCGAATGACATATCATATGTCAACTTTTGACATTTTGGCATATGGTTTATTTGAAATTGTAACATGCGGTTCATAACGACTATTTCCACCTCAAAATACCAAGTGTGTGGTATCAAATTATTCGTAAAAAAGTGCTTTTTCCAAATATGCTAACGAGCCACCCTCGTTCCATTTGAAAATATTGAGATATGATTAAAAATACGATTTGGGCATCTTTTAACCGGCCAGGACAAGACACTAAAAACATTAGACGATCAAATATATTTTTCCAAGGCTCCTTGATTAAAAATGAGTGTTTTTAACACAGCCATGGCACTCTAGATTGAAATTTAAAATAGAATTTTTGAGTGACTATGTCAAAAATTGACATTTGATATATCATTCGATTCAGAGTATTATTTTCTATCGAATAAAGTAGAGAAAAACCGAGAGTGCCATTTAAAAATCAAAAGTTGTAATCATTTCCGGTAAAACTGGAAGTGACCGAGAATAATTGAATACGTCAATCAATCCCAATTTATGTCATATACTAACATACCAAGTCTCGTTGTTTTATCTGAAAAAATAAAAAAGTTATAGGGGGTGAGCCACTTTTGAGATGCACCCGGTATATTTGAATAAATCGTATAAAAATATATTATTAAATCATATTTTAAAAGTATATATTATATTTTTTTTGTATGTGGCAGATTTTGATTCAGTAGAATACAAAATGAATTTGGAACTTCCATTAATTTTATTTATTATTTAGTACACAATATTTCAGAATTATAATTGTTTATTATCAAGTTATACCAATTTAAATTTTAAAACTACCGAGCATTTAGTATATCCAACGTATCATAGAAGATTTCGACAGATAACATCCAAAAAATAACAGAAAATACAATTTGGCTGTGAATTAAAATGACAGACACAACTGTCACCATTGTGTCTGACTTGTGTGAACAGATTGTTTACACAAGTCAGGCAGTAGTCTAGTGACCAAACCTAGTATAGTCTGTTCAACACAGAACACAGAACACTGTGTTGAACAGGCTATAATAGGTCTAATCACTTCATCTGCGTGATCTATATTTTAATGCATGCAACAGAGATAAATATAAATAACCGGTGACAGACAGAGAGACAAAATAAAAAGCGGCATACAGTGTTGCCGGTTTTTACGTTTGTAGGAAAATGTGGGTAGAAAAAATAAACTATTTTAAAAACTTTCATGTATACTACTGAAATGAAGATAATATATTTAAGCTAAATATAATATATTACAGCTGTAGTAGAATGAGTAACTAATTGTGAAAAATAAATTTCCAACCCTAGATATAACATTTTTCATAACCGCATACTTGTGTATTTATGAAAAATTAAAATTTTGATGGAAAATCCTGCAATACCGCTTAGAAGAAATGTATCAACCCAACTTTTATCTCTTTTTAATACATTTGATTTACCATGCATTGAGCTGTCTACATCACTGTCTTACACGTTAAAATCCAGACCACGCAGATCGCTTACCATTATTGCAGCTCCTTATTAAAAGTTATCAGATTCTTTGAATTCAAAATTCAAAGTAAAAGAAAAAATCTTTACGATCTGCTTTTACAAACATCTTAAATTTAACTGAGGTTCTTTACAGGTGGCTAAAACTTGAAGCATACAAGAAGCTTTATGAATCAGAACTTTTAACCAAGATGATATTTCGGTTACAATTAAACTCCATGATCAATGACAAAAAATCGCTGTTTCGTGCATAACTTGTCAGATTATGATGACCAGTTTCTTTGTTGAACATTTTTATTTTAAAAAACAATCATTAGGGAACTTTGACGCGATGTTCTGTTATTTAAATTTAAAAAAAATATTTTTCACTACCTCTACACTAAAGAAAGGAACAATGACGCCTCTGTATGACATTTTATGAAACTAAATAACAACAAAGGAAATTCAAAATTCATTTAAACTACACAAATCTTTTTAAAAGAACATCTGAACAATAGAAGTTGAAATTTAAATATTACATATCTCAGAAAATCGCTCATGATCTGAATACTTATCAAGATTTAAGCCAATCCTTTTCACTACAACATTCGATGTAAATTCCAAAGACTCAAGAACTTGACTCGGGATAAATATACCTACCAAATCTAATTTCAACTTCAAGCTTATCTTTCTGCAAAGTTTAAGGTACACAAGCAACACAATCAACGAATGAAATCTTGCCTGTAAAGTTAATTTAAAACTTATTTAATCTACCAAACGTACGGTGTGAAGCCTGTTTTCTATGTTAAAAGCTTGTGAAATTTTTAAAATATACGAGTAAAGTCAAAAAATACTAGAATTGAAATATAATAATGCCTATTTTGATATATCATTAGTTATAAAAAATGACTATACCTATGTGTACCTATGTATTCATCTCTCCAAAAAATGCACTGCAAGAAAAATCTACAAAATAAAATAGTTATTTTTTGTAAACACTTCTGGCGTTAAACCTAAACGTGACACAATCGTTGTTTGTAATGTCATTTTTCTTAAGCAGAACAACGGTTTCTTTGTAGACGCATCTGTTTTAAAAAAGTAAAGTGTTCTTTTGAATAGTTGAATTTTAAATATTTTAAATAGTTTTTTTCTTTGTTCTTTGTATTTTTGCTTCCGACGACGGAAAGACATAAACTTTCTGAAACGTTAAGCATTTTTTTCTTTGTTAAGTAAATTTTTATTACTGTAAACACTTCTGACAAGCAGTGTCCATTTAGGTTTTACGCAGAAGTGTTTACAAAAAATAACTATTTTTATTTTGTAGATTTTTCTTGCAGTGCAGTGGCGAAATACCCATAAAGATTTTTCTTGCAGAGATCATTAGTTATTTTTGACATTCCTCTTATATTTGTATACATAAGACATAGTATAAACGAGTGAAGTAGGTACTAATGCATATGAATTAACAATATAATAATCTAATTAATGAAATATAAAATGTTACTTACGATTTTCTCTGTTGATTTAATCCAGGATGGTTTTTTATTAGTCTGAGGATGTAGGGACGTTCACAAGTGATTAGATCTGTGATTTGGGGTGGTTTGATTAATATACAAGGTGACACAATAATAATTAGAAAAAATATGTTTGAATTCATATTATGAAATAAAAAAATCTAAATACATGTTTATGTATCACCCTGTATATATTAAAAATTATTGAATTTATATTGTTATATATTATTTTTAAATTAATGTAGCTAAAGTTATATGGTTGTTAAAAGCGGTCAAAATATTTAAAATTTTATTTATAATATATTCGAAATACTTTTTTAATGATATTTTTGAAGAAACATTTTTTAAAATTATTGTTGGTAGTAATTATTGGGAAATAATAAAAATAACTGTAACCTTATTTCTCCTATATTTATTCTTTGGTCAATAGATATAAAATGTATACAACTATACAGGGTGTCCCAGAAATAAGTGCAAATATTTTAACTGGTAGTATAGTTCAACCCCAGAAACACGCCTATGAGGTTTTTTTCGCGAAAAAATTTTTTTTTGGAATTTTTGGAAATTTTTTTAGTTTTTTAGTTAAAAACATAATTTTTTGATAATATGAAAACATAGGTATTAGATTAAATTTACAAGAAAAAACTAGAACTAGTGGTTTTCAAAATTTTAGCAAAAATTTTTTTTTGAAGAAGTAAAATAACTCCGTTATTTTGGACTTATTTGAAAAACGATAAAAAGAAAATATGTTCCTTTTATCGAGATCTACCACCCCTTAAAATATTTGCACTTATTTCTGGGACACCCTGTATATTTCAATATTTTTAATACAATTAACATTTAGGTACATATATTTTGTGAATTGCAGAAATGAATACATACATCTAAACACCAATATTTGTACTTAAATAAATATATATTTGGCTGATTTTTGATTACTTTTTGACTATATTTTACTTAAATATTTATTTCTAATATTAATTTAACACATATGAAGAAAATTGTTTGGTTTTTCTTAGAAAATAATATTTGCTTTAATTAATTTGCCTGTAATCCTATTTATTCAACTAAAATATGAAATTGGAAATTGGGACATCTAGTAAACCCTTGATCCAAGTACATTTAAAAGACTTTAATTTATTGACACACAAATAAAATATTTAAAGAAAATCCTAATTATAATAATTCGTTATATTTTTATAGCAAACATCTCATTTATATTATTTTTCAATATTTTTGACATGTTAGTGCTTTGGTCTTGTAATTAAAATATATTTTAGACTGGAAAGATAGCCAATAAAAATTTCAGTTTTGTTTTAAATCTTTTTTCTCTGTATCCATCGTGATTTGTTTTGAGGGTACTACTTCCTAAACTTAGGTGACGAGTCTTACTGAAAGTAGGTACCATTTTTTGTACGTTTTCTCAGCAATTTTCGTTTTGTATCTGAGCATATGATGAAAATCGTTCGGAATTTTGAGCTCAATTGGGTTATAAAGCATGGGATTAATTGCTGAGTTCAGGTAAACCATGATTCTGCAAAAATACAGAATGTTGTAGTACCTTTCCATGCCCAAATTATTTAGGTATGCTTTCTTCCGGAACTACTATAATCCACTAGGTAAAAAACCTAAACGGTATCAGGCATAAAAAGAAACTGAGTACTACCGTTCCTAGCATCAATATAACTTGTCTTCTTGCTCTGATGGAGTACTTATCCAAATG